TTTTTTCCCCCCACTGAGCCCTGTTTCCTGGCACAGGCACATGCTACCAGCAGGTGAAGCGGGTGCTGCACGCGGCGGTGCCCGACCGACTCCACGGCAGGGAGAAGGAGACGGGCATCATCCGGCAGTTCCTACGGGAGCACGTCGGCGAGCGCCGGCCCGGCAGCCTCTACATCTCCGGAGCCCCTGGAACGGGGAAAACAGCCTGTGTGAGCCGTGTCCTGCTGGACTGCAAGGTGTGCGGCGGGTGGGGGGTCCCGTTTTGGGGGTGCTGGTGGGGCAGGTTGGCAGGGAAAGGGCGGGAGGGCTGGTGGGCAGGGGTTGTAATGCTTCTGTCTCTGCCAGGATGAGCTCGCCGGGAGCAAAACCATCGTCCTGAACTGCATGGCGCTGCGCAGCCCACAGGGCATCTTCCCTGCCGTGGGGCAGCAGCTGGGGCTGGGGGCTGCCACCGGCCGGGAGGGCGTGCGGAGGCTGGAGAAGCAGCTGACAGCCCGGGGACCCATAGTGTGAGTTTTTCTTGCCTGGGGTAAGGGGGTGGCGTGGGGTCCCCCACCTCGACGCCCCGAGAGTGGGCAGCCAGGAGAAGCAGCCCCAGCAGTGGGTCTCCCCACATGGGGGGCTGTGGGGGTGGTGGGCAGAGCTGGGGCTGATCCAGGCTCCCCCCTTGTCCCCGCAGCCTCCTGGTGCTGGACGAGCTGGACCAGCTGGAGAGCAAGGGGCAGGACGTGCTCTACACCCTCTTCGAGTGGCCCCTGCTGCCCGGCTCCCGGCTTGTCCTCGTGGGTGAGTGCACAGCAGCGTGGCACTGCCAACCCTCTGGGTTTTTAGGGGAAGGAGGGCTGATGGGGGTTTGGTTTGCACCCCTTTTCACAGAATCACAGAATCTTCTAGGTTGGAAGGCACCTTAAAGATCATCTTGTCCAACCGTCAACCTCACTGACAAAAATAGACACCCACACAACAAACAAGGAGCATCATCACTAAACCAGACCTCCCAGCACCACATCAACCTGTCTTTTGAACACCTCCAGGGATGGGGCCTCAACCCCCTCCCTGGGCAGCCCATTCCAATGGCTGAGAACCCTTTCAGTGAAAAAATTTTTCCTAATATCCAGCCTGAACCTCCCCTGGCGCAACTTGAGGCCATTTCCTCTTGTCCTGTCGCCTGTGACTTGGGAGAAGAGACCGACCCCCACCTCTCTACACCCTCCTTTCAGGGAGTTGGAGAGAGCAAGAAGGTCTCCCCTCAGCCTCCTCTTCTCCAGGCTGAACACCCCCAGCTCCCTCAGCCTCTCCTCATAAGACTTGTGCTCCATTCCCTGGCCCTGCCCCAGCCCCTAAATGTTTTTTTTGTGGTGGGGGGCCCAAACCGGGCCCCCCGCTTGGGGCACAGCCTCATCCTTCTTCTCCCCCCTCCTCACCCCGCTGTGCCCACAGGGTTGGCCAACGCGTTGGACCTGACGGACCGCAGCCTGGCCAGGCTCAGTGCCCACCCAGCTGGTGCCCCCCGGCTGCTGCACTTCCCACCCTACACCCGGGAGCAGCTCAGCGCCATCCTGCAGGAGCGGCTGGGGCAGGTGGGGGACACACCAGGATGGGGGGGACACACACATGGGGGGGGTGGGGGGCTCTGCCCACGCAGGCGGCAGCGCTGACACCCCCGGTGCCCTGGCAGGTGGCCGGTGACACCGTCCTGGACGCCGCCGCGCTCCAGTTCTGCGCCCGAAAGGTCTCCGCGGTCTCCGGTGATGCTCGCAAGGCTCTGGATGTCTGCAGGTCAGTGTCTGCCCCCAAAATGGTGGTGCTGGGGTCAGTGTGGCCACTACTCTCCCTTATGAGGAGAGACTGAGAGAGCTGGGACTCTTTAGTCTGGAGAAGAGAAGGCTGAGGGGAGACCTTATTAATGCTGACAAGTATCTCAAGGGAGGGTTGAAGGAGGAGGGAGCCACTCAAATATGAGGAGAAACTTCTTCCCAGTGAGGGTGGCAGAGCCCTGGAACAGGCTGCCCAGGGAGGGTGTGGAGTCCCCTTCTTTGGAGATTTTCAAGACCCGCCTGGATGCTCCTGAGTAACATGCTCTGACAAGCTCTGAGTGGTCCTGCTTTGGCAGGGGAGTTGGACTAGATGATCTCTATGGTCCCTTCCAACTCTAAAATTCAGTGAAATTCAGTGAAATACTGAGCCCCATGTGGACCCTGCACTGGGGGTGCCCGCCCCGGGGTGGCCGCTCTGCCGGGCACTGAGGGCTGTCTCTCCCCTTCAGTGAAATACTGAGCCCCATGTGGACCCTGCACTGGGGGTGCCCACCCCGGGGTGGCTGCTCTGCTGGGCACTGAGGGCTGTCTCTCCCCTCAGACGCGCCGTGGAGGTGGTGGAGCTGGAGGTGCGGAGCCAGACCCTGCTCAAGCCACTGTCTGGTGGTGAGTAGCTGCTGTGCCAGCACCAAACCCCCATGAGGGCACACACGGGGACCTCCAGGCTGGCCTCGATGAGGGTCTTGGGTCCCTTTTTGGGCCATCTTCCCTCTTGGGTCCCCCCAACCCTGCCAGCACGAGGTCCCCTGCAGCCCTGTCTGTCCCACAGGTGACTCCCCGGCGTCCCCCGTCCCCAAGCGCGTGGGGCTGCCCCACGTCTCCCGGGTGCTCTCGGAGGTGTTTGGGGACCGGCTGGTGGCGGGGGGGCAGGGCCCCCGGGGGGACACCTTCCCCCTGCAGCAGAAGGTGCTGCTCTGCTCCCTCCTCCTGCTCCTGCGCCGCCTGCGCGCCCGGGAGGTGACGCTGGGGAAGGTGAGTGGCCGTTGGGACCCTCTCGGGGCTGGATTTGGGGGGCGCTGGGTGGGTGTTGTGTCCCCCCCAACCCCCCCAGAGCCTCCATTGGGTGCAGTGTCGCAGTGGCTGGATTTGGGGGGCGCTGGGTGGGTGTCGTGTGTATCCCCCCCTATTGGAGCCTCCCTTGGGTGCAGTGCCACAGCATAACCCCCTGCCCTCCCCAGCTCCACGATGCCTACAGCCAGGTCTGCCGGCGCCGCCAGCTCCCCGCCGTCGATCAGGCTGAGTGTTTGTCCCTCGTCACCCTCCTGGAGTCCCGGGGTGTCCTGGAGCTGAAGAAGGCCAAGGAGGCCCGGCTGGCCAAGGTACCCGGGGGTCCGGCGGTGGGATTTGGGGGGTCTGGCAGTGGGGTGGGGGTCCGGTGGTGGGGCAGGGTCCGGTATCACGGTGCTGAGCAGCCCCTCTCTCCCCCCATCCCCAGGTCTCCCTGAAGCTGGAGGAGGCGGCGGTGGAGCACGCTCTGCAGGACGCCGTGCTGGTGGGGAGCATCCTGGCCCAGGGGCTGTGCTGACACCCCCCCCCCAAACTCCATTGCTGCCCCCCCCGGGATTCGGGGGGCGGGGGGGGGTGTCTCAGCACATGGATGGTTTGGCCCCAGCCCATGGTGGGAGCAGGGAAATGGCTCCCGTTGGCCTCCCCCGGCTGCTGTTCGTTGAGTCCTTCCCTGGGGCCCTTGGTCCCGGGGCAGTTTTATTGATATTTTTAATATTATTTTTAATATTATTATGAATTATTATTATTTTTGTGTGGCGGGAGGCTGGCACCCCCCCCCCCCCCCCCCTTTTTGCAAAGGGCCGGGGGGGGGG